GTAAGTTGTAGAATTATTTTTATTGTTTGTTTATTTGTTAAGTTAGATTAGTTTAGTGTGGGGAGTCTACCAGGAGGACTGTTGCCCGCTTGTCTTTTAGTGTCTCGTAATACCAGAGTGTAAACAAATAAACAAAAGAATTAAAAGAACAAAAGTTGAACGCTGGCGACAGTAACTCCTCCCGGCCATAAGTTTTGACCCAGGATGTAACCTTCAAGTCTGGAGTTAATAGACCAAATCCCCTCCTCCCCCCTCACCCCACATCTCCTTCTCCCTCACCCCACATCTCCCTTCCACCCCACATCTCTCCCTCACCCCACATTCCTCCCTCTCTCACACTTCAACCTCCCCCACCCCACATCTCCCCTCCCTCTCCCCCCCCTCACCCCCTCCTCAACCCCCTCCCCCCACTCCACATCACTCCCCCTCCCCCTCACCTCTCCATCCCTCCCCCCAATCACTCACATTCTCTCATCCTCTGACCTCTGTTGACCAAGCACGGGCAGCCTAAATGGATAATCCTCAACATTTTTAATCTGAAAATTTAAAGAGAAAATATCTAACAGTCTTGGAGGCTGGTGGCAAGGGGTGGAGGGGCAGGACTCTTCCACCTTGTTGTTCTTGACCTGGACGGACAGTAAACCAAAGTCTACGTGAACCTTTGACCTCTGACCTGTGACCCATGTTGTCTTCAGTGACAGGGGACCTACAAGGACAGTTCCAGATCAATTTTTAATCAGAAAGTTTTAAATGAATTAACAAAAGCGTTTGGCAGTCGAGTGTTTAATCCACTCAGGCTGACGTCTTGACCTTGATCTCCCTAAGACTGACAGTTCTTGTGTCTTCTTCAACGAGGATTTCATTTAAACTCCTCTGTGTCCGGCAAGTTGATGTAAGAAAAAAAAAGGAAATCAAATCACCTTAAAATTTGCCCCCTGAGGTTATATTTTACCTGATGATTAATTAGTCTAATGCTACCTGGGGAGAGGAGGGGTTAGGTTAGGTTAGGTTAAAATAGGATAGATTAATTTTAGCCTTAGATTGACTATTCTTCGGGTGATCTAAAAAAAGAATTTCACATCAATAACTCAACGAATTCGTGCGCTAGAGTACCGAAATCCAGACAGACAGACAGACAGACAGACAGTCAGACAGACAGACAGACAAAGGCAACAGCAAAACCTAACCTCTAGGTAGTTGGGCTTTCGGAAAAAATTTATTTGTATTTATGAGTAAAGAATTAATGTTTTTATTACCGCAGCTGTTCCTCTCAGCGACCACCGTACTACACACGGGAGTCACCTTTAATCTTCCTTATATTCGTGTTCGGAAAAAAATACAGAAATCTCATATAAATTACAGACCGCTAAATAAAAACTGTTGAACCGTAAAATTCCATCTTTCTTTATGTTGATAAAATCCAATAAATATTAAGATGTGGACTGTTTCAGAATTCTTGCCGCGTGATTCAGAATTGGAAAAAAAATCTGTTGGAGAAAAATAGCTGTCAATTGAAAAAAAAAATAATAGCCCAAATCAAGTAAAAAAATAGTCAAGGTCACGTTAAAAATAGCCCGTTAACGAAGAAAATAATAGCCCTATAGACTAGTTATTTACCTCTATAGTGCGCGACATGGTATGAACAGGTGCACTCAGAACGATCTATTATCTAAATAATTATCAATTAAACTCTCGGAATTTGTGAATGAGTATAACATCACAACCCCCTCCGCACCCCCTCCCCACTCACCACCCCCTCCCCACTCACCACCCACCCCCCACTCTCCACCATCCCCCTATACCTACCTTTATCAAGCTTGTTAAATAACACAGCAGAAATTCCAATTACCTGTGTGTGAGTGTGTTGACGCTGACACACGGCACCTTTCTGTAAATTGACATTAAGTTTGGTAAATATGTGAATAGCGAGAGAACTCCCTCCCCCTCCCCCCCTCCTCCCCTCCTTCCTTCCCTTTTATTTGGTGCGCTTTGTGTGAACTTTGACCTCGACAGTATTATAGATGAAATTAATTACAATCCTTTCCCATTTCGTGAACTTTGACCTCTGTAATATAAAAAATAAACGAATTTGACCTCATGTCATGAACTTTTTCCTGTGTAATATATATATATATATATATATATATATATATATATATATATATATATATATATATATATATATATATATATATATATATATATATATATATATATATATATATATATATATATGTTGATAAATCACAAGGAAAGAATAAAATGTGTTTCTGCTTTCCTTGTGGTTATCAGCAAATACCTGGATCATGAGCACCTACAGTGATTTATTTAGGTATATATATATATATATATATATATATATATATATATATATATATATATATATATATATATATATATATATATATATAAAATATATACAATAATTAGTAACTTGTCTCTTGCGCTCCAACACTTTCCCTCAACACAAGCCAACACCAACATTTGGTGGTGGTGGTGGAGGGGAATATTATCAAGGACGAGCAGCAGAAAAACCCTATTTATTTTTTTTATTCGACCTTTATTATGTGACACAAATGACATTAATTACTGACTTCTTCCTTTGTGTTTGAAATAATTTATCTTTTGGGGGTTTTGCCGACTGACATTTATTGAGGTGAAAAGATGAAAGACCGATAGAACAGAAAAATAAAAACATTTATTTGGGATTTTTTTTTCTCGTAATTTTGGGGGATTTTTTTGGGGGGTATTTCCTGGAGGGGGTTATTTTGTGGGTTATTTGGGGAATATTAAAAAATATATAATAATAATAACCTCCAATTACACCTGTGCTAACTCACCTGTGTTGGGGTTGCCACGTATCAAGTTTAGGCCAAAATTTTTCATCCGCAGCAAAATATAAAGGAACTGCCGGTCACGATGTGTTAATTTTTTCCTTCTGGTTTTGTTTATTGTCTGACTCTGTGTTTAGGTATTTAAATGATGCAAACTAAATAATAAATAAAGCGGTGAAAAGTGTACCGGACTGAAGCAAATACCTGACTAATTTAATGTTAGAAATACGTGAATAAGACGAAAAAAAACGTTCTATTATATACTCAGTAGTTATTATCAGTATATCATCTTAAACTAAACTACATCATTAAGTAAGATTATGCGAGTCGAGCGTCCAGAAGTGACAATAAGAGTAACCGCATTACCGCTTCTGCTCATCATCCGTCAGAGAGATGAACTATGTGGGTCAGCGCCCTACACATTAAAGCAGCATGACCTTGGCACTCATTAGGATATTCAGACCTTATATGAAAATCCTGACGCTCGTGGTTCATCCTATACAACACGTGAAGGCATAATATAACTGTCATTAGCAGGTATAAACTGGGTATAAACACCAAGACAGCCCAAATGTAAACACAACAACATCGGGTATAAACTAATCTAGTAATCAGGAAGTATTTTTTGAAGCTTCATATAATCAAGCTGGCCGGGTCCTTATGGGGGGCGGGGGGATCAAAGGATAACACTACGGGATGATGTCTGATGCCGTCCCTTACCTCAACACCTTCCTGCAGGATACTACTACTACTACTACTACTATTACTACTACTACTACTACTACTACTACTACTACTACTACTACTACTACTACTTTATTATTATTATTATTATTATTTTTATTTTTTTCTGGTGTTGATGGTAGTGGTGGTAGGCAGGGCTGTAGTAGTAGTAATAGTAGTAGTAGTAATAGTAGTAGTAGTAGTAGTAGTAGTAGTAGTAGTAGTAAGCAAAAATAACAATAACAATAACATTCTTCAGGTCAAATAAACACGTTACACATTCGTTAAGGTTGATGAGACATTTATTGTAGGTTAGGTTAGGTTAGGTTAGGGTAGGTGATCCTCTGACCCACCCCCGTCTCACAAGAACCTCCTCTAGCCCTCATCACTGCCCACACACACACTTAACACGTATAAAAGTGTATTAGTAACGCCTCTTATTGAAAGCTCCCGCCACAACACCACCCTGAGTTAGTGAGGTGTATGACCCAGTTTGGGGAAGTAACAAAGGAAGACCGGGCACTTGGTAACAACACAGACGAAACCATTATTAAAGTCACCATTCGCTGTTGGGTGAAACTTGAGAGGAGACGTACATGTGTGTGTGTGTGTGTGTGTGTGTGTGTGTGTGTGTGTGTGTGTGTGTACGTGAGTGTGTGTATAGTAGTAGTAGTAGTAGTAGTAGTAAGCAAAAATGACAATAACAATAACATTCCTCAGGTCATATAAACACGTTACACATTAGTTAAGGTTGATGAGACATTTATTGTAGGTTAGGTTTGGTTAGGTTAGGGTAGGTGATCCCCTGACCCACCCCCGTCTCACAAGAACCTCCTCCTCAAAGAAGAAGCTCCTCCTCAAACAAGAGCCTCCTCCTCAAACAAGAGCCTCCTCCTCGTATAACAAGAACATACTGCATACTAAAAATCAGGTACCCGCCCATTCACTTGGTCTGAGATCGAACCAGAGGTCATTCACACTCGATATGAGTATACTAGCCACTACACCAGAGGCCAGCAATGTACTGTACTTATCACACTTAACAGAACATTCTACTTATTATTTTTTTCTTATTATTTGAGTTTTAATTGTTATCATTCTACTTATTTGTTTATCCTAAGACAAGACGATAGACTGAGAGGGGGGGGGAACGGTGGAAGGACTGAGAATAGGGTGAATAAAAGAGAGAGAGAGAGAGAGAGAGAGAGAGAGAGAGAGAGAGAGATTTTATACGTGCACTTTGTTCTTTGAATGAAATTACCCAAAATAGAAATCAAGCTGCTGGTGACCTTTGACCTAGTCTCTCTCTCTCTCTCTCTCTTTCTCTCTCTCTTTCTCTCTCTCTCCACCAAATAACGGGATACAAAGGCCCTGGTATTCGTACATAGTCTCCAGGAAAAAAAAAAAAAAAAAAATTCTCTTCACGTGACAGCTTCTCCTTACCTGTAGTTAAGTGGCGTGTAGCTGGGCCAGTTAGCAGGTCATTTTGTCCCGGCAGCACCAGCAGACGGTCGGCGTAGCGGTACTGTTGACAGGTGGCGACGCCCTACTCTACGCATCGTATCATGTTTGTTTTGGTTTGGGTCAAGTCGGATTCGTAAGTTCGCGACAGACTTCACAAATCCGGATTATTATCAAATCTTTGGGCGCACAGACAGACAGGCAGGCTATTTTATCCAGGTGTAACCCCCCGCCGTAGATGTTATTTAAAGCCTTTTGTATTATTATTATTCTCTAATTTCACTGTTGTAATTCAGGTAAACACACTGTGCGGCTTTTTCGTTCCCTGTGATAAATGGCTCTTCCTTTGTTTTTATGGGGAATCTCTTTCTGTCATGCACAAGCACACTTCAGGGCCTTTTAACTCAATTCTTTCGCACTGGCTTTCCACTACTCAACGAGGGGACAGGTAGAAGGCTTTATATGCCCTTCCTGGATGGCCGTAGCGATGAGTATAAGACCGGTGAAGGGGCGATATGATGGGTAGCGTCAGGAGGCAAGAGCTCACACGTCCACACCCGACAACGGCGCAGGGCACACTGTTGCTCTCAGCATGTGTGTACCTCCCCCTCCTCCCCTCCCTCACCTCCACATCCTCCTCCTCCTCCGTACTCCCCTCCCTCACCTCCGCCTCCTCCTCCCTTCCTACCTCACTCCCTTTCTCTCTCCTTCACTACTTCCTTCCCTCCCTCTCCTTACATCCCTCCCTCTCTCCCTCCTGCCGTCCCTCTCTCCCCTTCTTCGCCACCATTGCCCCCATTCCCCATTCCCTACCTCAAAATACAACCCCTTCCCCTCCCACGACCATTTCAACCCTTCCCTTCTCCATCCCACTTCCCTCCCTCCCTCCCTCCATCTTATCATTCTCAACCTTCCCATCCTCCATCACCATCACGACTGTCCACACCATCTCTACCATTATCACCATTGACATCACCATCACCGCTACCACCATTACCACCAGCTTTATCAACCACCATCATTATCATCATCACCACTAACACTACCACCATTACCACCACCATCACCACCATCACCACCACCATCATCACACCAGCAACACCAATGACCACTGCACCACCATCACCACCACCATCATCACACCAGCAACACCACAACCATCACCACAACACTAAGCCACCATCATCGCTGCTGTCACTAATATTTATTACTACCACCACCACTAACATCATTACTTTGTTGAACGTATTACAAGCATTATTTCACGAGTTAGATGTTAACAACCCTCCTGCCCCTGCCTCCCCTGCCCCCCTTCCACACACACTGATTAACAGCAATTTTCCCTCTGACCTTTCATATCATCCATTATTATTTTATGCTTTATATTGTAGATAATGAAGCAGTATTCACCCAGAGCTGAATAAAAACTGTGTAATACTGAGCAGTGAGAGAGAGTTAGCACAGTAGTAGTCCGCCCCAACGCTGTCATTCCTGGGTTTATTCAGTTCCATCCCGAAAGTGTTCAGAAAAAAAAAATCTGAAAAACACACGGCTAAATTTTTCCTAGTGTTTATGTGTGTGTTTTATGTCCTTATATATTACTGTTTAACAAATTATATGTTTGAAAAATGCACGTGTACCATTTTACAGTATGTCATGTTTAATAAATTAGCTGCGTAGATTAGGAAAATGGAACCCGGTTTTGTGTAGCGCATCTTATTAAACTTTTATTTAATATAGTATAATTTTATAGAGTATATTCAAGGCTTCATTACTTTATGCACATACACAGTTCCCAATACAGCTACCGTGAAAGAGGAAACACACAAGAGTTAAGAGTATATCAAAGTAGTCTTAACTGTATAATAACACGTGTGAACACTGTCAGAGTATCACAAAAATCAACACAAACATTTACCTTAAAAATATTCTGCCTGGCTTTCTCCTCTGTAGGTCTTGGCTGGTTGGTCACGTTGCAGCATCCAACAGAAATCAGCAAGCAGTGCTGGACTCCATTTACCTTTGTAGTATGTTTCCATTGTTGCGACATCTTGGTGGAATCTTTCCCCCATGCTCGTCACTCACATCAGATAGGTTTTCAGGGAGGGGGAAAAAGACAGACAGGTATGAGTGGAAGTAATGCAGTTTGAGTGACATTTGGCTGCCCTGACGTTGGTAACTTTGTAGTAGGTGATCTACCAGTGGCTTGTAGTTGACGTCTCTGTGTCTGCCAATAAAACCATTGTTGATGTTCTTGAAAGAATGTCAAGCCACTAACTCCACGTCATTCATTGCATCTCAAAATTATGATCAAACAATAGCTGGTGAGTTAGTGGACCTACACACACACACATACCTGTAATCTTGGCCTCACTTAGTTTAGGGAAGTTTCCTAACAGGTATTTGAATGCTGGAAGATTCTTGCCCATTGTCTTGAACAGTTGTTTGACGAGACGAACATTAATGTGTAGTGGTGGAAACACAATCTTGTCTTTTGGAACCACTGGGCCATCGGCTGCAATAAACGTCCTGTACCTGGAATGATTGAGTCACTCGTTGGCCAAACTTTGGTGGTGTAATGCTCTGCTCGGGCGTCCCTCATACACAGAAAGCTCATATCTTTGGTGAATTCAGTCAGCTATCCTGTTAAAAGTGGAACAACATTAAGTCTGCACAGATACACCAGCAGTGATGGGAATAATTAATACAGTTGAGAATGACACTAAGGTTATCGTAGGTCTCCTTCAGAATAACAGAATGTGCAACTGGTACACCGCGCGCCGCACACTGTAGGTGGATGCATCAATAAAAAGTCTCCAGTCATGTGGATCAGATTGCATTTCCCAGGTATTGAATAAGCCATAAATGTGGGAGCAAAACCTTGTTGAAATATAAAGTTACTAGAAGGGAAACTCTTTAAAAAATCGGGACTACTTTAATAATGAATAATCAGGAGTGATACTTGTGTTGTAGAAGACAGATTTTTTTTTTTAGGGGTGTATGTATAAGGTAGATGTAAGGTAGATAGTTCAGCTGGTCACTACACTTGATCTACCTGTAAACTTGGTCTCGGGTCAAGTAAGGTGAGGAATATAAGATGGTTGGTAAACGTCTTCCTTCAGAGAGGTGGAGCTAAGTCAAGTTCTGCAGAATAGTCGAGCGTCTCCCCTTCCTCGAGTGTTGTCATTTGGTGGTACTCGAAGTTTAGCCTGGAGGAGGACCTGAAGTATATTACCCTTGAACATGAGAGTAAGACCTTCAACATATGTCCTGTGTTGTAGACGCTCCTGATAAGACAGTTATTGGCAGTACGTGTCCTGGTTTGTGATGAGCTTCCGTGCCTCCGCCTCCTGTCTAGTCCAGGAGGAGATAGTGAGGGGGGCAGGTCGTCCAGGAGGAGATAGTGAGGGGGGCAGGTCGTCCAGGGTGGTGTAACTACTGATGTCTGTTGAGCTGTGTCTTAAGACTGGTGGTGGTGGTAATGGTTCAATTACAAGGTGCTGCTCGAAGCTCCTCCTTCTTGTCTCTTGAGTCACACTTTACTCCAGTTATTTCCTCGTCACTTTATTCCTCACTAGCAAACGACCATTCAATCATTCATCCAGACTGTACCATTGAGGGCCGTCCTTTGATCACCACCCCGATGATACTAAAAATTTGTCATGGCACCAGCTGCGTCCAGTACAACAACACAGGTGAGAAGAGTCATCAAGTATCTGGCGCCACGCTAAACTATCTGTCATCCAGCTGTCATATCCTCATTAAGAATAAACTCTGTCATCATGTAAGGTATTAACGTGTCGAAAAGTGTTACCGGTGACTGACAGGAGCGACACTAGCTGACACCCTGACTGCCTCTCAACTCATACTGTTGATGACAGAAATCACATGTACCTCATTACATACAGAAGCCATTGACGTTATACAAGACACACTTTATAAGGTGTGGTAAGAGAAAAGCACACCACACACACACACACACACACACACACACACACACACACACACACACACACACACACACACACACACACACTCACACACACACACACACACACACACACACACACACACACACACACACACACACACACACACACACACACACACACTACTTTACCTACATCAGAAGGTAGTGAGCTGTCTGGTAGGAAGGTCTGGGGTCTGGCAGGGTGGTCTGGGGGGTCTGGGGTGGCCTGGGGGTCTGCAGGGGTCTAGGGGTCTGGCAGGTGGTCTGGGGTCTGCAGGTGGTCTGGGGTCTGGCAGGTTGGTCTCGGTCTGGGGGGGTCTGGGCAGGTGGCCGGGGTCTGCAGTGCCTGGGTCTGCAGAGGGGGGTCTGCAGGGTGGTCCTGGGTCTGCAGGGTGGTCTCTGGGGTCTGCAGGGTGGTCTGGGGTCTGCAGGGTGGTCTCTGGCCCGGCAGGTGGTCTCGGGGTCGGTCAGGTGGTCTGGGGCAGGTGGTCTGGGGGTCTGGCAGGGTGGTCTGGGGTCTGGCAGGTGGTCTCTGGGGTCTGCAGGGTGTCTGGGGCTGTGGTCTGGGGTCTGCAGGGTGGTCTCTGGGGCTGCGCAGGGTGGTCTGGGGGTCTGCAGGGTGGTCTAGGGGTCTGGCAGGGGTGGCTGGGGGTCTGGCAGGGTGGTCTGGGTCTGCAGGGTGGTCTGGGGGTCTGGCAGGTGGTCGGGTCTGGCAGGTGGTCGGGGGGCTGGCAGGGTGGTCGGTCGCAGGTGGCGGGGGGTGGTCTGGGGCTGGCAGGGGTGGGTCTGGGGTCTGCAGGGTGGTCTGGGGGTCTGGCAGGGTGGTCTGGGGGTCTGCAGGTGGCCTGGCCTGGCAGGGTGGTCCGTCTGCAGGGTGGTCTCCAGGTGGTCTGCAGGGGTCTAGGGGTCTGCAGGGTGGTCTGCGGTCTGCAGGGTCTCGGGGTCTGGCAGGGTGGTCCCGGCAGGTGGCTGGGGGTCTGCAGGTCAGGGTCTGCAGGTGGCCCCGGGCTGGCAGGTGGTCCGGGGTCACAGGTGGTCTCAGGGGTCTGCCGCAGGGTGGTCCGGGGTCTGGGCAGGTAGTCTCTGTCTGGCAGGGTGGTCTGGGGTCTGCAGGTGGTCTGGGGGCTCAGTGGTCTGGGGTCTGCAGGTGGTCTCTGGGGTCTGGCAGGTGGTCTGGGGTCTGCAGGGTGGTCTGGGGTCTGGCAGGTGGTCTGGGGTCTGGCAGGTGGCACTGTCTGCAGGGGGTCTCGGGCCTGGGCAGGGTGGTCTCGGGGTCTGCAGGTGGTCCTGGGTCTGGGTGCAGTGGTCTGGGGGTCTGGGCAGGGGTGGTCTGGGGGTCTGCAGGGTGGTCTGGGGGTCTGGCAGGGGTGGTCTGGGGGTCTGCAGGTGCTCTGGGTCTGCAGGGTGGTCTCGGGTCTGCAGGGTGGTCTCGGGGTCTGGCAGGTGGTCTGGGGTCTGCAGGGTCTCAGGTCTGCCAATCACAGGGGCCTGGTCTGGGTAGGGGTCTGGGGTCTGGGAGGGTGGCCTGGGTCGGGCAGGGGCAGCCAGGTGGTTCCGGGGTCTGGTGTGGTCCAGGTCTGCAGGGTGGTCTCTCGGGGTCTGGCAGGGGTCTGGGGTCTGGCAGGGTGGTCTGGGTCTGGCAGGTGGTCTGGGGTCTGGCAGGGGTCTGGGGGTCTGCAGGAATCTGGGGTCTGCAGGGTGGTCTGGGGGTCTGCAGGGTGGTCTGGGGGTCTGCAGGGTGGTCTGGGGGGTCTGGCAGGGTGGTCTCGGGGGTCTGGCAGGGGTGGTCTAGGGTCTGCAGGTGGTCTCGGCACAGCAGGGTCTCGGGGTCTGGGCAGGGTGGTCTCCTGGGTCTGCAGGGTGTCTGGGGTCTGCAGGTGGTCTCGGGTCTGCAGGTGGCCAGGGGGTCTGGCTGGGCTGGCCTGCAGGGGTCTCTGAGGTGGTCTCTGCCCGGGGTGGTCTCGGGGTCTGGCAGGGTGGCCCCAAGCCTGCAGGCAAGAGTCAGCAGGGTGGTTCAAATCAGCAGGCGATCTGGAGGGGTCTGGCAGGGGTGGCTCCAGGGGTCTGGCAGTGGTCTGGGGTCTGGGTAGGGTGGTCCTGGGGCCTGGGCAGGGGGTCTGGGGCTCAGCAGGTGGTCTGGGTCTGCAGGGTGGTCTGGGGGTCTGCAGGGTGGGGTCTGGGGGTCTGCAGGGTGTAGTCTCGGGGTCTGCAGGGGTGGTCTGGGGGTCTGGCAGTGGTCCAGGGGCCTGGGGGGGTCAGGGCAGAAGTGGCCCTGGGGGTCTGGCAGGGGGTCTGGGGTCTGGCAGGTGTCTCAAATTGGCAGGGTGGTCTGGGGTCTGGCAGGTACTGGGGTCTGCAGGGGTCTGGGGTCTGCAGGGTGGTCTCGGGGTCTGCAGGGTGGTCTGGGGAGCCCTGGCAGGCTGGGCCTGCAGGGTCAGGGTCTGGCAGGGGTCTGGGGGCCCGCAGGAGGTCAGTCCGCAGGGTGGTTCGGGCCTGGCAGGGAGGTCAGGGTCTGGCAGCACCAGGTCTGGGGTGGTCCAGGGCCCCAGGGTGGTCTGGGGTCTGGCAGGTGGCCAAGGGTCTGGCAGGGGGTCTGGGGTCTGGGCAGGGTGGCCTGGGGTCTGGCAGGGGATCCAAATCGGCAGGGTCTGGGGGTCTGCAGGTGGTCTCGGGTCTGCAGGGTGGCCTGGGGTCTGCAGGGTGGTCTCGGGGTCTGGCAGGTGGTCTGGGGGTCTGGCAGGTCTGGGGTCTGCAGGTGGCTGGGGGTCTGGCAGGGGTCTGGCAGGTTCCTGGGTCTGGCAGGGTGGTCTGGGGTCTGCAGTGTCTCTGGGTCTGGCAGGGTCTGGGTCTGGCAGGGTAGTCTGTAGGGTCTGGGGCCCGAGGTGGCCTGGGGTCTGCAGGGTGGTCTGGGGGTCTGGGCAGGGTGGTCTGGGGGTCTGGCAGGGGGTCTGGGGGTCTGGCAGAGGGTGGTCTGGGGTCTGGCAGGGTGGTCTCGGGGCCTGCAGGTGGTCTGGGGGGTCCCGGGCAGGTGGTCTGGGGGTCTGGCAGGGTGGCCCTGGGCCTGGCAGGGTGGTCTCGGGGTCTGGCAGGGTGGTCTCGGGGTCTGGCAGGGGTGGTCTGGGGTCTGGCAGGGTGGGTCTGGGGTTCAGGTGGTCTCGGGGTCTGGCAGGGTGGTCTGGGGCAGGGTCTGGGGTCTGGCAGGGTGGTCTCGTCTGGCAGGGGGTCTAGGTCTGGCAGGGTGGTCTAGGGGTCTGCAGGGGTGGTCTGGGGTCTGGCAGGGGGTCTGGGGGTCTGGCAGGTGGTCTGGGGGTCTGGCAGGGTGGTCTCGGGTCTGCAGGGGGTGGTCTGGGGGTCTGGCAGGGTGGTCTGGGGGTCTGGCAGGGTGGGTCTGGCCTGCAGAGGGTGGTCTGGGGTCTGGCAGGGTGGTCTGGGGTCTTGCAGGTGGTCTGGGGTCCGGCAGGGTGGTCTCGGGGTCTGCAGGGTGGTCTCGGCCTGCAGGGGTGGTTCGGGGGTCTGGGCAGGCTGGGGGTCTGGCAGGGTGGTCTCTGGGGTCGGCAGGGGGTCTGGGGTCTGGCGCAGGGTGGTCTGGGGGTCGGCAGGGGGTCTGGGGGTCTGGCAGGGTGGTCTGGGGTCTGCAGGGTGGTCTCTGGGCTGGCAGGGTGGTCTGGGGGTTCTAGCAGGGTGGTCTGGGGTCTGGCAGGGTGGTCTCGGGGGTCTGGGCAGGGTGGTTCCTGGGGTCTGGGCAGGGTGGTCTGGGGTGGGGTCTGGCAGGGTGTCTGGGGGTCTGGCAGGTGGTCTGGGGTCTGGGCAGGGTGGTCTGGGGGTCTGCAGGTGTCTGGGGTCTGGCAGGTGGTCTGGGGGTCTGGCAGGTGGTCTCGGGGTCTGGCAGGGGGCTCTGGGGGTCTGGTGCAGGTGGTCTGGGGGTCTGGCAGGGTGGTCTCGGGGTCTGCAGGGTGGTCTGGGGGTCTGGCAGGGTGGTGGGGTCTGGCAGGGTGGTCTGGGGTCTGGCAGGGTGGTCTCGGCCTGGCAGGGTGGTCTGGGGGTCTGGGCAGGGTGGTCTAGGGTCTGGCAGGGGTGGTCTGGGGGTCTGCAGGGTGGTCTCGGGGTCTGCAGGGTGGTCCGGGGCTGCAGGGTGGTCTGGGTCTGCAGGGTGGTCTGGGGGTCTGCAGGGTCGGGCGGCAGGGTCTGGGGCAGGGTGGTCTGGGGGTCTGCAGGGTGGTCTCGGGGTCTGCAGGGTGGTCTCTGGGTCTGCAGGGTGGCTGGGGGTCTGGCAGGGGTCTCGGCTGCAGGGTGGTCTCGGGTCGGCAGGGGTGGTCTGGGGGTCTGGCAGGGGGTCTGGGGTCTGCAGGGTGGTCTTGGCCTGGCAGGGTGGTCTCGGGTCTGCAGGGTGGTCTCGGGGTCTGGCAGGGGGTCTGGGGTCTGCAGGGTGGTCTCGGGCCGCAGGGGGTCTGGGGGTCTGGCAGGGTGGTCTGGGGGTCTGGCAGGGTGGTCTCGGGGTCTGGCAGGTGGTCTGGGGGTCTGGCAGGGTGGTCTGGGGGTCTGCAGGGTGGTCTGGGGTCTGCAGGGTGGTCTGGGGGTCCTGGCAGGGTGGTCTGGGGTCTGCAGGTGGTCTCGGGTCTGGCAGGGTGGTCTGGGGGTTGGCAGGTGGTCTGGGGGGTCTGGCAGGGGGGTCTGGGGTCTGCAGGTGGTCTGGGGTCTGGCAGGGTGGTCTGGGGGTCTGGCAGGTGGTCTGGGGTCTGGCAGGGGGTCTAGGGGTCTGGCAGGGTGGTCTGGGGTCTGCAGGGTGGTCTGGGGTCTGGCAGGGTGGTCTCGGGCCCAGCAGGGTGGTCTCTGGTCTGGCAGGGTGGTCTGGGTCTGCAGGGTGGTCTCGGGTCTGGCAGGGTGGTCTCGGGGTCTGCAGGGGGGTCTGGGGGTCTGCAGGGTGGTCTCGGGGTCTGCAGGGGGTCTGGGGGTCTGGGCAGGGGTGGTCTGGGGGTCTGGCAGGGTGGTCTCGGGGTCTGCAGGGTGGTCTCGGGGTCTGGCAGGGGGGTCTGGGGGTCTGCAGGGTGGTCTCGGGGTCTGGCAGGGTGGTCTGGGGTCTGGCAGGGGTGGTCTGGGGGTCTGGCAGGGTGGTCTGGGGTCTGCAGGGTGGTCTGGGGTCTGGCAGGGTGGTCTGGGGGTCTGGCAGGGTGGTCTGGGGTCTGCAGGGGTCTGGGGTCTGGCAGGGTGTCTCGGGGTCTGGCAGGGTGGTCTGGGGTCTGGCAGGGTGGTCTGGGGGTCTGGCAGGGGGGTCTGGGGTCTGCAGGGTGGTCTCGGGTCTGGCAGGGTGGTCTCGGGGTCTGGCAGGTGGTCTCTGGGTCTGCAGGGTGGTCTCGGGGTCTGGCAGGAGGGTGGTCTCGGGCTCGGCAGGGGGTCGGGGTCTGCAGGGTGGTCTCGGGGTCTGCAGGGTGGTCTCGGGGTCTGGCAGGTGGTCTGGGGGTCTGCAGGGTGGTCTCGGGGTCTGCAGGGGTGGTCTCGGGTCTGGCAGGGTCTGGGGGGTCTGGCAGGGTGGTCTGGGGGTCTGCAGGGTGGTCTGGGGGTTGGCAGGGTGGTCTGGGGGTCTGCAGGGTGGTCTGGGGGTCTGCAGGGTGGTCTGGGGGTCTGGGAGGGTGGTCTCGGGGTCTGCAGGGGTGGTCTGGGGGTCTGCAGGGTGGTCTGGGGGTCTGCAGGGGTGGCCTGGGGGTCTGGCAGGGTGGTCTGGGGGTCTGGCAGGGTGGTCTGGGGTCTGGCAGGGTGGTCTGGGGGTCGGCAGGGTGGTCTGGGGTCTGCAGGGTGGTCTGGGGTCCTGGCAGGGTGGTCCCGGGGTCTAGCAGGGTGGTCTGGGGGTCTGGCAGGGTGGCTCCAGGGTCTGGCAGGGTGGTCTGGGGGTCTGGCAGGGTGGTCTCGGGGCCTGCAGGGGGGTCCCGGGGTCTGGCAGGTGGTCTGGGGGTCTGGCAGGGTGGCCCGGGGTCTGGCAGCAGGGTGGTCTCGGGGTCTGCAGGGTGGTCTCGGGGTCTGGCAGGGTGGTCTGGGGGTCTGGCAGGGTGGTCTCGGGGTCTGGCAGGGTGGTCTCGGGTCTGCAGGGTGGTCTCGTCTGGCAGGGTGGTCTGGGGGTCTGCAGGGTGGTCTAGGGGTCTGGCAGGTGGTCTCGGGTCTGCAGGGTGGTCTCGGGGTCTGGCAGGGTGGTCGGGGGTCTGGCAGGGTGGTCTAGGGTCTGGCAGGGTGGTCTGGGACTTCTATATTAGGCTCAGACCACCACGCCTTGGAAAACTCTCTCTCTAGGGATTACCGTGTAGCTATACCTCCCGTCTATATTACTAAAAGCTTATATTCCATAATTTAGTCCATAATTTGGTCTATAATTTTCAAGCATAGATTGTGACTTTTAGCCTCTAACTCCTATAATCGGTTGACCTCTCGTATATATTTTTTTCTTTTTTATAAGTCTATGATTTGTTATATCGTTTACTATAACAACCAGTCATGGAGTTGTAACGTATAGCTAATTGCTTCTTCTGTCTATGGTGACCTGTGACCTGACCTGCCATAACAGATCACCGACCCCTGACCCCTGACACCCAACATCCGACCCCGACCCTGACACCTGACTCCTGACCCCCAACACCCGACCACCGACACCCGACCACCGACCCCTGACCACCGACACCTGACCACCGACCCCTGACACCCAACCACCGACCCCGACCACCGACCCCCGACACCCAACCACCGACCACCGACCCCCGACCACCACCCCCGACCACCGACCCCGACCCCGACCCCGACCCCCGACCCCTATTACCGAATCTACCCACAGCTATAACTCTGATCCACTTAATTACCAGACCATTTTAGGTGGTTAGAGAATGACCTCGTTGGCCCCCATTAACTAGCCAAATGCCAATTAGGGTGGTTAGTTTGTCCCGCCTCTGTATCACACACGAGGTCATTATCATTTAGATTTTAATGTGTGTGTGTGTGTGTGTGTGTGTGTGTGTGTGTGTGTGTGTGTGTGTGTGTGTGTGTCTCTCTCTCTCTCTCTCTCTCTCTCTCTCTCTCTTGATGGTGTAAATGATTTTAACAGATTTACAATATTTACAAATATTTAATTTACACACTTCCTGTTCGTTCTCGTTTACACACCTACACCATTACTATAATTTACACACACACACACACACACACACACACACTCACACACACACACACACACACACACACACACACACACACACACACACACACCACTGACCAAAACACATTACAGACTTCAATAAAACTTTAATAAAATACCGTATAGTAAATATTATCGTTTAATAAGGCAGTAAAGAGAGGGTTAGCGCATCATTATTGACACCTCATTAAGCTTTGATGATAAAACTAAATTAATTATTATTTTTTTTTACATTAATTCTACATGATGAATATTATTGGAGGCTAAGTAGTTAGGTTGGGTGGGTGTGAATTATAGGGAGGGTAGGGGTGGATTATAGGGAGTGAGGTGTAGTGGGGGTGGATTATAGGAGGGTGGAGTGAGGTGTGGATTATAGGAGGGTGTAGTGGGGTGGATTATAGGAGGTGTAGTGGGGGTGTGGATTATAGGAGGAGGTGTAAATAATAAGGAAAGACACGGTAATTAAAATATAAACCAATGATTTAGAGAAAAATAAGAAAATAGGAAAAACAATATTGAATTAGATACAAAAAAAACTAATATTAACTCGTAAAAAAAAACGAATTACATTAACAAAAACATTAAAAAATAAATGGTTTATGAGCTTGTGTTTTATATCTCTTTATTTTGTCGTGTTTTTATTGTTTTTCTCTGTGTGGGTTTTTTTTTAATGTTTTTGTTCGTGGGATAAAACATTATACTGGTGGTAGTGTTAAGTATTCAAGTTAGCTTTTACCCTTAGCAAGAGAGGCAGCTGTGTGTGTAGGGGGTGTAGGAGGGGAGGGGGGAGGGGGGAGGGTGTGTAATTAGGGAAGGTTAGAAGGGTTAAGAGTGTGTGTGTGTGTGTATTGAGGGGTTTGAATGTGTGTGTTTTGAGGGTTGTGTGTTTTGTGTGTGTGTGTGTGTGTGTGTGTAAAGAAAAGTATGTACTGTACGTATATATATATGTGTGTGTTATCTGTGTGTATTTATATAATTAAGTAAAACTAACTCCATTCTCATGTATACTCTCTCCGATAATATGTGTACCATCCCAGGACACACACACACACACACACACACACACACACACACACACACACACACACACACACACACACACACACACACACACACACACATACTATCTCTTGTCATTTTTCCTCTCATAGTTAAAATTCCAATATCTAAACTTTAAAAGGAGGAACTCACTGCCCCAAGACCTCTGCCTCTGTGAATATTTAATGAGACGAAAGACTCATTACACCCAGCTGGGATGTTCACTCTTGTAATAATGAGTAAAACGCTTCTGCTGGGGGGTGGTGGTTGGGGTGGTGGGGAGGGAGGGGAAGGACTTATGTTTTATTTCCGTTAGTAGTCAAGATCTCTGTAGTAACCTTGGCTGGTGAATAATGAATTGATATGGTGCACCTGAGGATGAGTTAGGTGAGGGTAAGGCATTGGTTTTTTTTTTAATATTTTTCACACTCATTTACTCGTTCACTCACTCACCACTCTCTCTCTGTCTCCCTGCTCCTTCCTCCTTCTTCTTCCCTCCTTCCCCCCCTTCTCTTCTTCCCTCCTTTCCTCCTTCTATCCCCTTCTCCCTCCCTCTCTCCTCCTCCTCCCTCCCTCCCTCCCTCCTCCCTCCTCCTCCTCCCTCCCTCCTCCCTCCCTCCTCCCTCTCCCTCTCTCCCTCTCCCTCTCTCCCTCTCTCTCCCAACATCAGGATAAGCTAAGAATGAACCATAAGCCGCGTTAGTGAGGCTTCATTGTCTATCGAGAAACTCACTTTATCAAACACCTCAACTGCCTCTACACCCCAGGATGTAAACAATGAAATCCTTCGTCCAGAAACTCAGATTGCCAGATTTTTATTATAGAAAATTCGCTTCCCACACACCCATTTAACGGACGTAAATCTGTTATATTATCAGTTATTTAGAGAGTTTTATTTATTAAGTAATACTGATATTTATTTTAACTCAAGGAAATATTACAAGATGTGCTGGTTAAGTGTTATCAGGTCATGGGCGAGGGAGTCACAGCCATTCAGGACCTGTGTGACCTTTAAACAATGTTAGGTCAAAGGTCACGATCACATGTCAATTAATATATTTAGTAATGGGGCTCCGAGCTAAAGTGGTATATGTGTCCATGTTGAATATGTGTTTGTATGTTTATGTTTCTTATATAATGTTTTGTTTGTTGTAATATTGTATCACACACACACACACACACACACACACACACACACACACACACACACACACACACACACACCTCTGAATACTCACTCCACACACTCAACCTCCACTCACTCAACCTCCACTCACTCAACCCCCACTCACTCAACCCCCACTCACCAACCCCCACCACCAACCCCCACTCACCAACCCCACCTCACCAACCCCCACTCACCAACCCCCACTCACTCAACCCCACCACTCAACCCCCACTCACCAACTCCCCCACCAACTCCCACCACCAACCCCCACCACTCAACCCCCACTCACTCAACCTCACTCACTCAACCCCCACTCACTCAACCTCCACTCACCAACCCCCACTCACTCAACCCCCACTCACTCAACCCCCACTCACTCAATCCCCACCTACTCAACCTCCACTTACAAGCATATAATTTCAACCAACAGAAAACGGAGCTAATATCAAGGGTAGACTCAACTAAATATTACTCTTAACCAAAAAAATAAAATAAATTGCTTATTGACTCTCTTGTGGCGCTCGAGTCAGCTGGTTGGCTAAGTTGAAATCCATGTTTGTGTTTGTAATTGAACGACGTGAGAGAGACATTTACAGTGAGTGTGTGTGTGTGTGTGTGTGTAAATGACCTCTGAGCTAAAGGTGACCCATTATCTAAAAGCTGTGGCCTAATTTAACCCTTATCCTTAAAAGCCCTTGACCTGTATTGACATTTACCTAAAATAACCCTTGACACCAAAATAACTCTTGACCCACCAAATGACTTGACCTACATTGACCTCTTGACCTTAAAGAAAGTATTCAGAGATATCAGTTGCTCCAAGAGGTACTACATCTTTCGCATTGTCAGGAGGAAATGAATTTTTTCTTCAATGATTCTCACTTCATGAAATAAATTACATACTGTTTTTTTTTTCACTTTTCCATTTTTTTTCTGTTGGGTGTTTCATTTTTTTTTACTTTTAAATGTCAAGATATATTTGTTTTCTTAACATTCAAAGCCTCGAGAAGATGGCGTATGAAATTTAAAAAGACAGAGAGACAGACAGAAAGAGATACAAGCAGACATACAGCAAGAAAGAAAGGTCATATAAACAGGCAACCAGACAGACAGGAAGAGAGAGAGAGGAGAGAGAGAGAGAGAGAGAGAGAGAGAGAGAGAGAGAGAGAGAGAGAGAGAGAGAGAGAGAGAGAGAGAGAGAGTTTTGCTGATCTACGCAACACAAACAACTGGAGATAGATGGACTAGCCTCTATACTCCCCAGGTCACCGCACACAAAGTTTCATGGTGCCTGGCCAGAAACACTCGCCTCTCCTCAATAACTTTCTGCCTGTACTCGTTCTTGTGAGTCGCTGAGAGCAATACTTCCACGCCAACCTATCGACGTACTGTTAACGTCGTGTCAAGTAACCAATATCAATGTGGATAATGTTTAAAGTGATATTGATAAAGAACAGTTGATGAAATAGTGTTATTCATTTTAATGCATAAAATTTTTCGTCTGTTAGACATGATTCTTGTTGTTATTATTATTATTATTATTATTATTATTTTATTATTATTTAGCAAAAACTCTCTCTCTCTCTCTCTCTCTCTCTCTCTCTCTCTCTCTCTCTCTCTCTCTCTCTCTCTCTCTCTCTCTCTGACTCGCGCTCGTGTCAATAAGATGCTTATCGGCAAAACTCTGTGTTTGCCTGACTCCACCCTCCAGCTTACCTACCCTCTTCTCCCCCCGGCCCCCTCCTCCTCCACTCCCTACCTCCTCCCACCTCCTCCCCCCCACCCTCCCTCCCCCACCCCCTTCACCTGGTGTAGTGAGCTAGGTTA